TTTTTTTGGTTTGCATTTTTTAATAGAGGATTGAGACAGATAAGCTTATCGCATGGCACTTAAGGAACGGGAATGGAAAGGAACGGAACGGGGCAAAAACACATTTTACTGCATGGGAGAACACCACCGATGCTGCCGGGAGTCCCCAAGGCATTCCCCAGCCGTTCCTGGCAGCCAATTTTTGAAGGACAATTTTGAACCGTCCTTCAAAAATCGGCTGCCAGGGATGGCTAGGGAACACCTGACGGCATCGGTGGCATTCTCCTGTCCAGTAAAATGGGTTTTTGCCCTGTTCCATTCCGTTCCTTTCTGCTTCTGTTCTTGTAAGTGCTGTGCAATAAGCTTAAGAGGCTGCTACCACAATGCAACTTAAAAGCACTCTAATTGTCATGGCTGCATCCTATGGAATCCCAGGATTTGTAGTTTGTTATGGCACCAGAGCTCTCTGACAGCAAAGACTAAATATCTCACATAGAATTCCATAGCATTGAGCAATGGCAGTTAAAGTGGTTTCAAACTGTATTAATTCTGCATTAATTCTGGGATGCATTCCCCAGGAAGATGGATCCCTGAAGTTCTCCAGGTCAGAACCAAACAAAGGAAACTGAACTGGCCATGTTACTCATCTCCCATTCTAATAGGTATGAGAAGAATACAAGTGCATTGATAACTGGAAAGTTTGCTCTCATGGCCTAGCGTGTTCCCAGCTTTGAGCTACCAGGGAAAAGTGAAACTATCTAGTATGGCCTATTAAACACAAAATAACCCTTTTCTGTGCCACTTGGAGAGTTATTAGCATTTGGTCATGATTCTGATAAGGAGTCCCAAAACTCATCTTCCCAGTGGCAGTGCCCATTACATTTCCAAAAGCTATCCATGCTTTAGTGACCCTATATCTTGTCTCCTGCACTGACGTATCAATGATCAAATATTAGTGTTGAACTCCGGCTATCAGATATAAAAGCAATGCATCTCAGCTATCCATTACCTGTCATATATGAAACATCATCCAAGAATTGATCAAGCAGCAAAGACTGGGCAGAGAAAAGATTCTGGGAGTTGTATTCAAAGGGGGAAAAGGAGCTCTGTTCTTCCCCATCATTACAGCTGGCTCCTGTTTTCAGCTTGGCAGCTAAAGTACCCAGATGTCCAAAGTCAGGTGGAGTCTTTCTGAAATAATCATTGACTTGACATTTCATTTTCCCTCTTTTTTGGCTTTCACAGTGGGATGAATTTTGGGGTCACTGGGGTGGAGGAATTCCATGATGATAGACTGGTGTGGGGTAACCAGTTATGAGCAATGTGGCATTGGAGCAATGTTTTTGCTCCTCAAACACTCTCTGCTAAATTCTACTAATATCTGAATGAAAAATTGCTGATTTGATATTGGTCCATGACCGAAATAAATTTGTTGTTGTTGTTGGATCTTTTGCTGCCCCCCAAATGGCCATGGGGAAGTGCATGAAAATGCAAATACCAGCCTTCTTCAGGTCACTTTCCATTGGAAAAAATGTCTCTTCTGGAGGGAAAGTGGCCCCGAACATGGCAAGGTTGCCACCTATGCTTTCTAGGCGGCATTTGGGTGCATGGCAGGACAAAAAGTATTTCAAAAGTGAACCAAAAGTCAACTTGTATGTCATTTCCTATTGGGCAAAGGCATTTCCTGGGGTTCACTCCCCCAGGGTGTGTTTGAGGACATTTTAGGGAAAGAACTTTAAAACTCCCAATCCTATACTATAACCATGGGTAGAGGAAAAAGGGAGATCTGATTTCCTCCTTTCTGGTTTGCATGCCACAAAGGACATCACTTGGGGTAACATCGAGTTATGGCTGCTTTTTCTATGCCCATCCAACATACGTTGAGGGATACTGGACATATTTACACATATTTACATGTCACAAGGAGCATTACACAGGATTATACATTGCAAAGAACAATAGGGAGATACCAAAGGGGAGACAGCCCTGCATAGAGCTGCCAAGTCAGGATTACGCCAGGCCCTGAGACTTTAAGGACAAAACTTGAGACCTAGGGGTGGCTGCTGGTGATGTCAAGGCAATGGGCCCTGGAAATGTTATCAAGCAGAACCCATCAGCCACACTTGCAGTTTGTGCCATTCAAATCCAAAACAACACATCTAATTAATGAAGAAAGCATGTGTGTGTGTGCCTGTCTGTGTGTATATATCCATGTATATATCCGTCCTCTTTTCAAGGCAACACTCTCACCCTGAGAGTCTTCCCTTGAGGACTGGAGAAGAAGGTCCAAGTCCTGGGCCTCTAGTTCAGACCCTGAGATCTGGTCAGCCTATATCCCCATGCCATGTTCCCCCCATTCGCAATGTATGACATTACTGTTCCCTGGGGTAGGGAACGGATGGTTTTCTGAATGTTGCTGGATGACAACTCCCATCAATCCCAGGCAGCATCCCCAGTGGTGAGGGATGATGGAAGTTGCATTCCAGCAACATCTGGAAGGCCACACATTCTCCATCGTTGACATCATTTGTGCAACGTTATGCCCACCTGTGACTAAAAGAACAGCAACAAATGCAGCGCCTGAATGAAAACAAATGCCATTATGCGGTTGAAGGATTGCTTTTGGGTTTCCTTACAGAAGTCTGGAAAAAGAAATTTGAATGGGGAGCTTAATTATATAGAGGAAAGCTGCAAATTACACACATTTTCTGAGTTGTACCAAAATGGGAGGTCAGCAGTTCAAGCCGTGTGGGATTTAAATCTTGGAGAAGTGTTGTTAAGGCATCTCATGTTTTCGCTCTCTCTTTCTCTTTCTTAACGGGAGCATCAAAACTCTGTCGACTAACTTCACTAAATCAAAATGAGTGTCCTCTAAATAATTGGGAACGTTATTGGCTTCTATTGATTTAACAATAGCTTTTTGTCGCCGCACAACTTCATCTTGGAAGTTGTGATACCGGCATGAATAAGAACAAGGAGGCATTACAACCGAGTGAGATGTACCTCACCATTTTTCACTTCAAGAAAGGGAGTCGTATCCAGTAGATGAGATATTACTAACATAACTCAATCTTCTTAGAGAGATAAAATAAAATTAAAACCATAGCAAATTAAGGATATGGGCCAGTTGAGCCATAAATCTTTCATAGCTCAGAGACGGAGTATCATCCATTCTCTGGCTACAATGTAATGGAGGGAACACAGGGATCACATCTCTGTGAAAACATGAAATATCTGGGATGGCTACTACAGCTCCAAGCTAAAGTAATACTCTTTTACTAGTGGGTCCTTTTGCTAGGGAAGAACAAGGATTCTGAGTGGTTCAGGAACTTCTATCAGGAAAACAATTGGCCTATTTTGAATTAAAACATCCTTTCCCATTGTACAAGATGCCAGAAGGTTCCGTGCAAAGTTGTGCAGAAGATCTTGTTGCATAAACTTTTAGTAAACTTAAGTCTACTCCCGCAGATGCAAGGAGGAAGTAGACCTAAGTCTAAAAAAGAAACATAAGGAGGGAGATCAAGGCCCTTAAAGTTCCTGGGCACCAGTTCACTCCATGCATCTTAGGAAGTAGACTGTGCCTATGAAAGCTCATGCTACAACTTCATCCGTATAAGGAGCTGCAGGATCCCTTGGCATAGTGATATTCCGCTATTTTTGCATAGTGCTATCACAAGGCTATGGCTGCATCTGCACTACAGAAATAGTGTAGTTTGTCATGGCTTTAACTGCCATGACTCATTTGGGGATTTGCAGTTCTGTGAGATACATAGCCTTCTCTGCCAGAGAGCTCTGGTGCCCCAACTAACCACAAATCCCAGAATTCCATAGCACTGAGTCATGGCAGTTAAAGCAGTGTCAAACTACAATCATTCTGCCATGTGGATGCAGGCTATGTCTGAATTATATTCCATGCTAGTTACATTAACCAAGATCTTATGTCATGATTGCCTAGGGTAAATCTACATTCACGTAGTTAAGTGCCGTACTATTCTTCTACGAAATACCAACACTGTGCAACCAAATGGATATCTACGGATGCGTTTACTATTTCCATAATCCCAGTGAATCAAACGATGCACCAAGGGCAATGATGAGCAGCTACACATTGTTCAAGAATCCATATGCAACACTTCCATGTGCAGAACTGGATTTATGTTGATGTGACCTGAATATGGATATTATATCATGACCAAAGAAGGACAGCCACATTTGTACAGGAATTTGTATGTACACAAAACATGCCATTCATGGCCTGATCATTTATGGATCCAATTGGAGGTGTTGTGCTAGTTTTTAATGCTTTAAATAGATTGGGGTCATGTTATCTGGAGGATGGTTCTGCATCTCTACAGGTCTGTTTGAGGTTTAAGACCCACATCTGAAGCCCTGCTTTCTAATCCAGTAAAAGCTGTGTGATAGCTTAGCAACACACAGTGTCTTTCCTCTGGTGCCCTCAACATTTTTGAGTTGCTCTCCAAAGAGAAATGTGTATGGCCTGCCTTGTACTGCTTATCATAAGATTTCAGAGACTTATTAATACCAGTCTGCATTGGGTTAATTGGTTTTTGTGCTTTTAACACAATTTTTATCTGCTGCTGTTTAATTATATTTTAAGGGGTGGCTGGGATTGTGGGATATGAATGTATATTTTAATGTTGTAAGCCACCGCCGTTGCGTTACGCAGAAGGATGGGATAATAATAGTAATAATAATAATAATAATAATAATAATAATAATAATAATAATAATAATTTATTTACTGAACTGGCTTGGAAGTTGATGTTAAATGGGCTTTTTATTGATTTTTACTGTTATTGTATTTATTTTATTGATGTTATTGGCATATTGCGGTTTTAATGCTGTAATCCCGTCTCAATCCAAAGGGAGAGGCGGGAAATATAAATAAAATTTTATTTTTTTATATATTTATATTATTTTCTATCAAATTGCATTTTTCAGAGGGGTATCTTATTTAAGACCTGATGGCACACAACAACAACAACATGCTATTTAAGAGAGCCAGTGTTGAGTAGTGGTTTGCATGTTGAACTACAACTCTGGAGACCCGGGTTCGATTCCCTACTTGGCCATGGAAACCCACTGGGTGATCTTGGGTGGGTCATACACTCTCAGCCCCAGAAAACCCCTTAGGGTCGCCATAAGACACAGAAGAACAACAACAAAATATTGTTTAAAGTATGCCACAATTTATTTTATGACTATTTTTTTGGAAGCCAGGATAAATAAATCCATTAAAATAAGAGAATATCCTGAGACTTATAATAGTATCTTTGAAGCCTGTCATGTTGAGTGCCTGGCAGAGATACAGGGCTGCATTTAATGGGATACAGCAGCAACTGGCTTGTGCAGAACAATGAAGCCATCCCTTGGAAGTATGTGACAAGATTAGGTTGGAAGGCATTTGTATTACGGAGATAGGAGCTAGCCCCAAATCAGCATACAGCTTTCTTTCAAATGTATGCACTACGTTGGACTGCAAAATCAACAGCTTAAATTAGACTCCAGAGGCTCGAAGAACAAAGCTGCAACGCAAGATGTAACCAGTTTATCTCTCGACCAAAATGACCGATGCTTGTGTTTCTCCCTCCTGCAACCCTATTATTTCTCTAATAAGGTTTTAACATGGTCTTCTTGCAGGGCACTTTTCTTTACACTGAAGCAAGGAGCTAGAAAGCCTTGTGGCTGATTCTTTTTATTCCAGTTGGATTAAATTTAATATTAGCCCAAATCCTGTTGGTTAATTCCCTTTAGAGTAAGCCCACTGTATTAACTGTTGAACGGCAGGAAAACCCATGGCTTCATTGGTCCTACTCTAATTGGATCTAACCTGATCTTTCTGTATAGCAGATGCTCTTCATCCCAAAACAACATGCCTTTCCTTCTCTCTGAATTAGGCTGTAGATAACTCAGTTCTGTAGGGACCCCTCAGTACTTCTGCACAATCTGTACAATTTCTCAGAAGTCTAATCTGCACTGCAGAAATAATGTCGTTTGTCACCACTTTGAATGCCATGGCTCAATGTTTTGGAATTCTGGGATTTTTAGCTTTGTGAAATACTGAGCCAGGGAGCTCTGGTGCTACAACAAACTATAAATTCCAGGATTCCATAACCTTGAGTCATGGCAGTTAAAGTGGTGTCAAACAGCATTATTTCTGCAGTGCAGATTAGACCAGAGATGCTTTGGGTTTGGCGCTGAGTGGACATAAAGGTTGGAATCGTGTATCATGATCTCTATGTTACATAACCTTAGGTATACTTAGCTAGTAGTAGAAGTGCTAATAAGTCTGCACTGGACATTTTGCTGTCTCCCTTACTTAGTAGTATACAAGCAGCCCTTTACTGGATGTGGACGTTACAGAACTGTCCAATTCTAATTCCTACAGACGTAAGACCACTAATGGAGACACAAATCCCCAAGAGGATCCTGGCTGGTATCTCTGCGTAGGAACACTGCAATCTCACAATGGACAGAAAGTTGAAAAGCTGAGATGACCCTCACTTCTGAACTAGCATTGGTGCGGATATTGTGAAAGTTGTGGATCTCTCTTCTATAACTCTGCCCAGTCTAAACTTTTAAAGCCACTGAAGACATAGGGCATTTCCACATTCTGTGCCCTTGAGTTCCTTAAGTTGCTATTTGAATGAGGAGTGCTTGCCTTTGCCAATCCTGAATTGTCTGCACATTAGTTTCATATGGAGACTCATGGTGATTCTGAGTGTTATGTGGCAACGGTTTTGACTTTCTATTTTGCTTCCTACTGAGATGCTTGGGCATGTTCTGGACAAGGATCTTTCCAGGGAGGAAGGCAAAGTTTGAGGTTCCAACACACCTTAATTGCTTACATGAGCTTTCAAATAGATGTCTACAGATACTCACCCAATCTCAGTGCCAGCGTTTGCAATTTCACATCTGTACTGTTGAGATGGCTGCCTGGCATGATGGAAGAATCTGATAACTGTTTTTGACAGCCGTCTGCCTGAGATATACATGAATGTGGGAAGTGCTGAATGCTAATAGCATTTTGAAAATATATGTGCTTGGCTTTGAGTAGATCATCTGGGGTAGGTTGGAAGGGGGGGAGATTCTTCCTTGCTGGATGTTTTAATGAGGAGACAGAGCTCAGTTGGTGTGGATCTCCTTGGAAAATGATTCCTGATGACCACATTGAAGGAAAAGGTCTACACCAATCCAACACTGAACATTTAAACAAAACAACTTTTGGGAGCAGGGATTGGGAAAAAGACCACCTATGGTTTGCTCCTGGACCCACATTTTTTAAAAAACAAAAGCAAATTTGGGCCCTTTGGGGTGATCTTCCATCCCTCAAGTAGGTCACAAGTAATGGAAACCATCCACAAACATTGCGGTTTAGTTCTACTACACCTCCAGACCCCCTCCTCCAAATTATCTGCTTTGGGCTGGATCTCCTTTCTTCCCAAATTCTTTCACATATCTTTGTTCAGCATGTGTGCACATATGCATATACGATTCTCATATTCCACAGAGGAACTGGGAGGGAAAGCCTCTGCAGTGTCAGAGGTGGGAAAAGCACAACTCAAGTTCCTCCAGTAACTTCTCACTAGGTAAGGAGGGGGGGTCAAAATCAATGGGTGATGGCAGCTCAGATAGATGGTCTCTAGGGATCCCATCTTAATCAGTAAAAGAAAAAAGAGATTCTAGAATCACTACACGGTGAAAGAGGATGGGTGGGCATTTTAATTTTTCTCTGTCTCTAGTTAAATTCTGAACTGAGGTAAGTCTCTAGGATTGTTTGTTCATATATGAAGCAAAAACAGAGTTGCCAACATTTTTATTCTGAGCCAAGAAACTACAGATTTTAGTAACTTCCAACCATATGATGCTCAAAGTCTCACATGCCTGAATATTTTTGTGTGACTGCAGCTGCTCTTTCCAGTAAATTGTACAGATGTGTGTCCAGGAGAATCAAGATAAATGCTCATTTTATTAGTATTCAAAGACATAGCTGTAGTAGTCTGTTTTGGCATAAAAAGATATAAAGGGATCCTGTAAAATCTTTGAGACCATCTGAGAAAGAGAAATTTATAGCATCAGCTTTCGTGAATACAGTCCACAGTGGACTAGTGTCCATAAAGCTTATGCTAAAAATTGCTTTTTCTCAATTAGTCTCGGAGGTGCTATAGGATTCCTTTATATCTTTTAATGCTCATTTCACTGCAATTGAATTCTGACCCATGCATGAGAAATCAGGGTGATTTAATTAATCCAAAACCAGCAGGGGTTGTGAATCGTTGCTGCTCAGAATGGTTGTAAAAAGTGATGCAGATGAAGAAGACATTGTAATAGTTAAAGGATGTCTATCCCTGGGCTCAGTCATAAAGCAAAATGGAGATTGTAGTCAAGAAATCAGAAAGAAGTCTTGGAAGGGTAGCTCTGAAGGGACTAGATAAGAAACTCAGGTGTCAAGATATGTCTGGGGTTGCGTCTGTACTGCAGAAATAATCCAAGATGGATTATCATCTAGGCTCAATGCTACTGAATTCTGGGAACTGTAGTTTAGTGAGACATTTTGCCTTCTCTGTCAGAGAGCAAGGGTGCCACAACAAATTACACTTCCCAGAGTTCCATACCATTGAGCCTAGATGATAATCCATCTTGGATTATTTCTGCAGCACAGAAATGGTTAAGTGATATCAGCCTGGATTATTTCTAAATTGTGGACACAGCCTTTGAAAACCAAAGTCAGAGTAAACCAAGCCACAGTATTTCTGCTTATGTGTATTGCATATGAAAGCAAACAACAAAGAAAGCTGCCAGGAAGGAAATCAACTCAGTGTGGGTACTTGAAGAGAGATCTGTGGATTCAAGGGATGGCCAAAAAGACAATCCAGAACATTGGTACTCATCATGAAGTTACCTTTTCTGCAATTGTGAGGAGGGAACCCTTCATGCTGGGTCTGCCTCCTCCCTTGTGTTTCACAGGAAGGACTTCAACCTACCTATTAAACCTATCATCCTACCAACCAAGGAGTAAAATTATGTCCAGAAATGCATTTGTTATTGATATATGTAGACACAAATTCAAATCTGAAACATAAAAACCTCACAGATTTTTTCATTACAGCAGTCCATGTAGAAATTGCCAGATGCTGGAAAACAGGGGATGTATCTTTAGATAAGTGATGGGGAAAAGTATGGGGCCTGTGGTTACTTGAAAAAACTAACAAGACAGAATGGCAAGTTATGCAGGACAACCAAAATCAGGACTTT